GGGAGCAACGACACAGTACCGAGAGCTGGAATCATGTCAGCTCCGTCCTTGGGGGTATATTCTTCTGTTTCTTACAGGGTTTGCTCTCGGTCTTCCAGCTGCGTGAGGGTCCGTCTCAGCCTCCTACTGTCCTCACTGCGACAGCGAACAGCGCCGAAGTGGGCCCGCTATCACGCCGGAAGCACAGGTGCTTTACTCGGGTAGCTCTTGCGTGTGCACGCCCACTCTCTCTCTCTTCATAGTCCTCTTCCACCATAGACACCTGTCCAAAGCTCACTCGCACTCGTCTGCTCTCCCACAATCACCAGCAGGATCGGATCGATTGATGAGGGTCATCAAGATAAACCACCAGAGCCAACGCCCAGGCCCTTTCTGCTTTTTTTTTCTTTTTTTTGAAAGATCTAATTAATTGAAGAAACAGTGACAGTCAGCTGCCGCAGACAAATGGAGGGGGAGGGGGGGACGGGGGAAGGGGGAGAGGGGGAGAGGGAGAGGGGGAAGAGGGGGAGAGAAGGGAGAGGTGGGAGAGGGGGAGTGGGAGGGGGAAAGGGGGAGAGAGTGAGAGAGTGAGAGGGAGCGGAGTCTTCCATCCATTGGTTCACTCCCCAGTTGGCTGCAATGGCCGTAGCTGTGCCAATCCAAAGCCAGGAGCCAGGAACTTCTTCCAGTTCTCCCATTCTGGTGGGCCTAAGGACTTGGGCCATCTTCTACTGCTTTCCCAGGCCATAGCAGAGAGCTGGATTAGAAGTGGAGCAGCTGGGACTCAAACCAGCACCCATACAGGATGCCAGTATTGTAGGCGGTGGCTTACTCTCTACGCCACAGAGCATTTTAAAAACAATTTATGAGGGGCCGGCGCCATGGCTCACTTGGTTGATCCCCTGCCTGCGGTGTTGGCATCCCATATGGGTGCCAGGTTCTAATCCCGGCTGCTTCTCTTCCAGTCCAGCTCTCTGTTGTGGCCCGAGAGGGCAGTGGAGGATGGCCCAAGTCCTTGGGCCCCTGCACCTGCATGGGAGACTAGGAAGAAGTGCCTGGCTCCTGGCTTCAGATTGGCGCAGCGCTGGCCGTAGCGGCCATTTGGGGAGTAAACCAATGGAAGGAAGACCTTTCTCTCTGTCTCTCTCTCATTGTCTACAACTACCTGTCAAAAAAAAAATTCATGAATACGCATTTATTTCAAAAGTTTTTACATCCAAATAAGCTATAATTCCATTTGTCCACAAAACTTTTTGAAATACCCTCTAACAGGTCAGTTGGGGAAGGTTTAACTAATCAAAGTCCCAGAGGAAGAAGAAAGGAATAGAATCCAGAACTCAGGCTAAAGAAATAGTGAGAAACCATATGAACTGAGATATAATAAAAAGAAACAGTCAAAAGAGTTTTAATATACTTTCAATGTCATTTCCTCTTCCCATCCAATAGTGTACACCAAATGAATACAAAGTTCCCTCCTACTCTAAATGTTCTAGATTTCTTTAAAGATGGAATAAGGATTTGGGAAACACTTGTCTCCCATCCCCGTACACCCATACTGGATAGGGAATGTACACAGTTACCTGAGAAAAGTTAAAGACTGGTTGTGTGGTGCCCCAAGCGATGACAGATCTGGTGACTTCTTCTGTGAAGAGTTTGCAGTTTAAATAAACATTGCATGATGCCTGTTTTTCAGATTCTCCAGGAGTGAAATCTTTCCCCTCTGGCACCATCAACAGCACATGTAACAGCAAGGCATCTTCTTGTGTTGACCCATTTGTCCGACTCACTAAATTATGGGAGGCTGGCGGAGTCATCAAGTTGGAAGGATGTGGTGCTACAGGGCTCAGTGATTTTGGGTTAGGGAGCACCAAATTCTGTGCCTTCTTTGTAGTTTCCTCATAAATTTGATTTAGGTTCTTTAAATTTTTGGTAGAGGTAATATCTTGGTTAGCTTCTGGTAGTATCTTATCTGGACTTGTAGGTTCACAATGTGGGGTATGTTGGATATTGCTACTTAGTTTAGTATTGACACCAGTGAAATCTTTATTATCTGTAACAAGCTCCACGGTTACCTATAAAACAAAAAGGAAAAGAATCGATAAGAATGTCCTCTAGAACTGGAATCAGAATTTTGGAGCTGGAAACAACATTAGATTATTAGCCAATGAGTTAACTAATCCTCAAATACCGTAATGTAAAAAAAGTAACAGATTGCATATATATTAACTTGCCAGACTAAGCAAAGCTAGGCAGATGATTTATTAATAATACAAGATGAGCCTAAAACATCACCCTGTGCCAGAAAATAAAGTAGTACTCAGAAAAGATTGGAGATATATTTAAAGGACACAATTTAGTTGAACAGGATCCCTCTGGCTAAATCTAGGACAATTTGACCATCAATTTGAATAACAGTAATGGATTATAACCTAATGAATAATATAAGAATCCACCAGTCCATACTGAAAAAATTAAAATGGGAGAAGTGACCACTCTTCTGTCTAGAATGCTATTTAATAAAATGTACAGGGAACTGAGCAAGAAATGATCATTTTACAACAATCATAACAAGCATAATCAGGTAAGCCTCAGTGGAGGTACAGTCTACAAAATAACAGGCTTACTTTTTAAAAATGTTAGTGTACAAAAATACAAAGGGCTGTGGAACTATTCCAGACTAAACAAGATCAGGAAGATAGGACAATTAAACACAAAAGATAATCTTGGACTGGAAAAACAGCTGCTAGAAAGGAAAGTACTGGTGAAAACCGAGCATGAACTATAGATATGGTAAATACTATTAAATTGCTTTCTATAACTCAAGTATTATGCATGATAATGTCCCTGTTCTCAGGAAATACACGCTAAAGAATTTAGGAGTAAAGAGATATGTCTGTAACTTAGCCTCAAATAGTTCAGAGAAAAAGCGTGTGTACATACTATTATACAGGTATAAATATAAGGGGAGGAGATAAAGGAACAGAAAGAGAAAAGAGGCAGACAGATACTTATAAAGTAAATGTGACAAATATTAAGAACTGGTGAGTCTGGGCAGAGGATATGGGAGTTCTCTGTACTACTTTCATAATTTTTCTGAAAGTTGATGTTATTTCAAAATAAAAATTACAAAACACGTTAAAAAGTAAAAAGAGTGAGTGTTGGCCTAGAGGTTAGGATGATGTCTAGGATGCCCATGTTCCATACTGCAGTACCTGGGTCTGAACCATGACTTCGGTTTTAGCTCCCTGCTAACACAGATGCTGGGAGAAATGGTGATAACTCAAGTAATTGGGTCCCTCTACCCTGTGGGAGACCTGGACTGAGTTCCTGGCACAACCCATTACCCTCTCAGGGCTTCCCAGTCTCTCAGTCATTGTGGATATTTGGAGAGTGAATCAGCAGGCTAGAGTTTTCTCAAGGGAAAAAAAAAAGGTAAAAAAGAAAAATGAGGGACTGGTGCTGGGGCATAGTGTGTAAAGCACCGCCTGCAGTGCTGGCATCCCATATGGGTGCCAGTTTGCGTCCCGACTGCTCCACTTCCAATCCAGCTCTCTGCTATGGCCTGAGAAAGCAGTAGAAGATGGCCCAAGTCCTTGGACCTCTGCACCCGTATAGGAGACCTGGAAGAAGCTCCTGACTCCTGGCCCAGTTCTGGCCGTTGTGGCCATCTGGGGAGTGAACCAACAGATGGAAGACCTTTCTGTCTCTCCCTCTCTCTGTCTGTAACTCTGCCATTCAAATAAATAAATAAATCTTAAAAAAGAAAAAAAAAGATTCAGGATAAATGATTAATTTGAGGAACAGAAGTGATCACTTCCTGTTAAAAGACTGATTTAACTAGGAATAAAGTATTCTTGTTGTTCCTTTTATCTGAGACACACAGGTGTTACACAGCAAAATTACTTTGGTTTATTGACTATGGACTGATTAATAGCACTTCTGTCAACACAGCCAGGATAGAAACAATTTCTAGTCCATCAATTCTATTTATTATACCTACCTGATTTTTAAGCTTTACAGTCCAGCAAGAACCAAAAAATAAAACTTGGACAGTAGAAGGGCAAGGTGGTTGTCTGATCACCACCTCTTGCTTACCTCCCTGTACTCACTATCCCATCACGCTGTTTATTTTCTTTATAGCACTTCCGCTGACCTATTTCAACAGAAGCTCCACAACAGCTTTTCTGCTTCACTGCCATATTCTCAGGGCCAGTCACAGACACATACTCAGTGAACACTTCAGACTTCCTGAATGCGTATCTATATACCTTGAGGGGGCCAAGCGGAATCTGATCAATCTGATCATTTTCATGCTGCACTGGAAGTTGGTCGCTGAAAGAAAGCAGCTCTGACTGAATGACAGCTCGCAAAGGAAGCGACGCAGAGCCAATGACTTCAGGCTGTGGAAACAAGCATAGAGAGTTTAGGTTTAATTAAAGAGGAACATACAGAATTTTAATCAAAGTGACAGCACATGTAGTTTATAAAGGAACTCATACTTTTGAAGTCAAAACCTTAATTATTAGAGGGTGGCAACTCTAAGTGGGGTCCCATATTCTGTATTTTCAGCCCCCTCCAGGTTTCACTAGTGCTCTCTGAAAAAGTATAGATGGTTTCAAAAGTCACAAAGATGTTGGAAGATGATCTGTTATGAAGAGTTAAGTTTTTATTCAAATTGTTCAGCTTCACTCTTAACAAAAAAATAAAACTTAGATGATACAAATTTTTGCCATTAAGATGAAGAAAAATCACAAAACTTAATTATTTGATGCTTTCAAGACTATAGAGAAATAGGAGACTGTCATATGACTAAAGCTGGGAATATAAACTGGTAACATACTTCTGGACAGCGAATTTGATAATTTGCATAAAATATTTAAATATTCATATTCCTTGGTCCAGTAATTCTAATTCTGGGAATTTATACTAAAGAAACACTAAACAATACATATAAGACCTATATATATGCATATATTAATAAAAATAATCACATATCTAATAATCAGGAATTATTTAATTATAGCACATCAATATGGAAGAGTATATAGTCATTAAAATGTTTAGTTAAAGTCCAGGGACAGTGTTGTGGTGCAGCAGGTTAAGCTGCATTTGTGATACCATCATCCAATACAAGTGTGGGTTCATGTTCCAGCTGTCCCATTTCTGATCCAGTTCCCTGCTAATGCACCAGGGGAAGCAGTAGAAGATGGCCCAATTACCTGGGCCCCTGTCACCCATGTGGGAGATCTGGATGAAATTCTAGGATCCTGGCTTCCGTCTGGTGCAGCCCCTGCCATTATGGCCATTTAGGGACTGAACTAGCAGACTGAAGAGCTCTCTCTATTTTCTGTCTTCCTATTTTTCTATATATTCCAAAAGACCTTGTATTATTTATTCGCTGAGAAAATGAACAAAAAAGCCCAAAACACTTTCCTCATGCTATCCACATCAAAGACAAGGTCAAATGATAAAGGCTGCTCCATTATTGAAGGAATTAAAAAATTTCTAATATTATAGTTCATTGACTTGTGTTATCACAGTTGCAAGTGGAATTTATAAATTTTGAATTAGTTGATCAAAACTGCTAACTAGAAGACGGCTCAAGTGCTTGGTTCCCTGCTTCTGCATGGGAGACCCAGAGGAAGTTCCTGGCTCTTGGCTTCTGATAGGCCTAGCTCCAGCTATGGCAGCTGTTTGGGGAGCAAACCAGCAAATTGAAGACCTCTCTGTCTGTCTCTGCCTCTGCCTCTCTGTCAACTCTACCTCTCAAATAAATAAATAAAATCTTAAAAAAAAAACCCTAATACCTATAATTATCTTATTTTGAACATGGGTAGAATACTTCATATATTCTACCTGTAAACTGATATGGTGTTGAAGGCAAAGCTGCCGCCTGGGATGCCATACGGGTATCCCGTATGTATGCTGCTTCTTGTTCTGGTTGTTATACTTCCAACCCAGCTCTCTGCTAATGGCCTGGGGAAAACAGTGGAAGATGGTCCAAATATTTGGACCCCTGCACCCATGTGGGAGACTCATGATGAAGCTCTAGCTTCCGGAATTGGCCTGGCTCAACCCTGGCCATTGCATCCATTTGGGGAGTTAGCCAGCAGATGGAAGATCTCTCTCTGTTTCTCCCTCTAACTCTCAAATAATCAATAAAGCTTAAAAAAAAAAAAAAAAAGGAGGTAGGGAGTAGAATCTCAAATGATAGCCAATAGCAGTCATTTCTCTCTATGGTATGGAACAAGTAAAGAGATTAGGAACTTAGGATCTAAAGACAGAAGACTTGGGATGGAGTCCTCACTTTGTCTTTTACTTGACTGGGTGATCTCAGATATGTTTTTAAAAAATTTTTTTTTATTTGACAGGTAGAGTTATAGACAGTGAGAGAAAGAGACAGAGAGAAAGGTCTTTCTCCCTTTGGTTCACTCCCCAAATGGCTGCTACGGCCAGAGCTACGCCGATCCGAAGCTAGGAGCCAGGTGCTTCCTCCTTGTCTCCCATGCAGGTACAGGGGCCCAAGCACTTGGGTCACCCTCCACTGCACTCCCGGGCCACAGCAGAGAGCTGGATTGGAAGAGGAGCAACCGGGATTAGAACCCGGCGCCTATATGGGATGCTGGTGCTGCAGGCGGAGGATGAACCAAGTGAGCCAGGGCGCCAGCCCCACAGATATGTTATTGACTTCATTAAATCTTAGTTTCTTCATCTGTAGGATGAAGATAATAATGTACATAATTCACAGAGTTGTTAAGATGAATAAATCTGACACTGTGTTCATGTAGAATCTTTAGCACATCAGGACTATAATAATAGGTAAACAGAGATTAGTTATAATAATAATAAAAATATTAGTGTTGCTTAAGCCTGTAGAAATCCCTAGTTTAGATATGAACATACTTTTAAGTATGCTCCAAGTGTATTGTGTGACTGGTAAGACAAAGGTCAGTCACTTGAAGTACCTTTTTCTGTGGAGTTTTCTTTGTGTAAATTTGGAAAGTGAGGTTGGAATTCCACCAGTGCTGTATCATTGGGCCACCAAACCGTACTGGAAACACAAATCGCTGCTGGAATTTCACCACTGTAAGGAGAACCAAACAGATAGGCACACGTCACTTTCCCTAATAAGAGCCATCATAAATCAGGTCTTATTATCACCTACCTCCCTTGCAAATCTGATTAAAATCTTTTGGGGCTTAGGGAGAGGGAAAGGGGGTGAAAATGTTCGAAAACTGGATGACAGTGATGACTGCATAACTCTGCATATATACTGAAAACCATTAAATTGAATGCCAAATGAATGAACTATATAGTATATGAACTTTAAATTGATAAAGCTATATTAAAAAAAGCCATATTATAAAGATATAGACCCTAGTGACAGGAGCCGAAGCAGCAGCGCAGGTTGTCCCCGTTTCCCCTCCCCCTTCCCTCTGTGGTTGATTTCCCGGGCCCCCTACACTCCACAACCCCGGCTCTGCCATGTCCCAGAAACAAGAAGACGAGAACCCTGCGGAGGAGACCGGCGAGGAGAAGCAGGACACACAAGAGAAAGAAGGTATTCTCCCTGAAAGAGCTGAGGAAGCAAAGCTAAAGGCCAAATATCCAAGCCTAGGACAAAAGCCTGGAGGTTCTGACTTCCTCATGAAGAGGCTCCAGAAAGGGCAAAAGTACTTTGACTCAGGAGACTACAACATGGCCAAAGCCAAGATGAAGAATAAGCAGCTGCCAAGTGCAGGACCAGACAAGAACCTGGTGACTGGTGACCACATCCCCACCCCACAGGATCTGCCCCAGAGAAAGTCCTCACTCGTCACCAGCAAGCTTGCGGGGTAACCTGGGCCCCCCTCTCCTCCCCTTCCTCACCCGCTGGACTTTATGTATTATAGGCAGGGATGGAATTGGGCAGCTAGTCAGATCCTCCCAGATTGCTAGCCGAAAATGCTGCTGCCGGGGCTACCGAGGAGTTCACGTGGGTTGAAGAGGGGCTCTTGAGTTCATTTCTTTGGTTACATGGAGACTTCCGCACCTTCACTGTAGCCCAGGTAGGGGCCGGGAAATAGGAAGGACCAGGATTGGATAATGCTGCAAACTTTTTCTCGGTGAGAAACTGGAGAGAGGTCATTTCTCCTCTTGGACGATAATATCCCAAAGTGGTTAGGCTGAGCCTTGGGAATAATATGGCAGGTTGAACAGCCCTGGGCTAACCTGACGTGTTGGGAAAGGTAGATGGGATGAGATGTGTTTTCTGTGCTTCTGAGTGTTGTGTCCCTCGGGCTGCTGTTGCTTTGTGTGTTCCCTGCGGCAGGCAGAGAGAGTCCTCACCCAGGCCTGAGTGGTCTGCCTGAAACTGCAGTGCCCAGTTAACCTCTACTTAGTGTGGCTTACAGATTGCCCTGGCTCTTAAATAATGTAAAGATTGGCAGACATTGTTCACAGAAGATGGGCACCTTCTCTCTCTCTCTCTCCCTGCATGTTGCTTTTCAGAGTGTCATGGGATAGTAGGAAGAGCAGTGGTTTAGGAGTCTAGACATCTAGGTTCTGGGTCCACTTGGCCTCAGCAGTACTGATGTAGAACCTCAGTCAAGTCATTTAGTCTCTTTGGATTTCTATTTCCTCATTGTAAAAATAGTTATTAAATATACATAAAATTGAAAAAAAAAATTGATAAAGCTATATTAAAAAAAGCCATATTATAAAGATAAAGACAAGAAACATAATGACAGTTGAAAGAACATGATCTAAGTGTCAGAAGTTCTGAGTTCTTGTTTCAGCCATGTTACCTGACTTGTTACCTTATGGCAAGATAATCACAGTAGCACTGGCTAGTTTCCTCACTTACAAAATAAAGGAATTAGAGTATTTACTTCAGAATTCTTTCTGGGGCCAGCATTGTGGCGTAGCAGGTAAAGCCACACCTGCAATGCCAGCACCCTATATGGGCCCCAGTTTGTGTCCTGGCTGCTCCACTTCCAATCCAGCTTCCTGCTAATGTGCCTGGGAAAAGCAGCAGAGGATGGCCCAAGTACTCGGGCCCCTGCCACTTATGTGGGAGACGCAGATGAAGCTCCTGGCTCCTGGCATCGGCCTGGCTCACTCTTGGCCATTGTGGCCATCTGGGGAGTAAATCAGTGGATGGAAGATATCTTTCTGTCTCTCCCTCTCTGTAACTCTTTTACATAAATAAATAAATCTTAAAAAAAAAAAAAAAAAAACGAATTCTTTCTAACTCTAAATTCTATGACACTATGAAAGTCACATGAGGGGCCGGTGCTGTGGCATAGCAGGTAAAGCCGCTGCCTGCAGTGCCAGCATCCCACATGGGCGCCGGTTCTAGTCCCAGCTGCTCCACTTCCAATCCAGCTCTCTGCTATGGCCTTAGAAGGCAGTAGAAGATGGCCCAAGTCCTTGGGCTTCTGCACCCACGTGGGAGAACCAGAAGAAGCTCCTGGCTCCTGATTGATGCAGCTCTGGCCGTTGCAGCCAACTGGGGAATAAACCAGTGGATGGAAGACCTCTCTCTCTTTTTCCTTGCCTCTCCTTTTCTCTCTGTGTAACTCTGATTTTCAAATAAAGAAAAAATCTTAAAAAAAAAAAAAGTCACACGAGCAATTAGGAATTCCAAAATATCGAAGGAGGAGAAAATGGGTCTCTTTCTTACTTCCATCTGCAATTTTACTGGAAGCGAATCGAACAACTTCAGTGATCAAAGCTGTCTTTCCTGATCCACTTTTGGAAAAGCCCACAGGAAAGTGATATTCCACAAAGAAAGTGCTAAAAACAAAACAAAACAAAAAAAGTGATTAAAAACCAAGCAAAGTTACACATCTGTTTTTATCTGATAAATCCTACATACCTTTAAAGATCCAACTTTCTTTTTTTTTTTTTTTAACTTTTATTTAATGAATATAAATTTACAAAGTACAGCTTTTGGATTACAATGGCTTCCCCCCCATAACGTCCCTCCAACCCGCAACCCTCCCCTTTCCCACTCCCTCTCCCCTTCCATTCACATCAAGATTCATTTTCGATTCTCTTTATATACAGAAGATCAGTTTAGTATACATTAAGAAAAGATTTCAGCAGTTTGCTCCCACACAGAAACATAAAGTGAAAAATACTGTTTGAGTACTAGTTATAGCATTAAATCTCAATGTACAGCACACTAAGGACAGAGATCCTACATGAGGAGTAAGTGCACAGTGACTCCTGTTGTTGACTTAACAAATTGACACTCTTGTTTATGGCATCGGTAATCACCCTAGGCTCTTGTCATGAGCTGCCAAGGCTATGGAAGCCCCCTGAGTTCACCGACTCTGATCATATTTATACAAGGCCATGTTCAAAGTGGAAGTTCTCTCCTCCCTTCAGAGAAAGTTACCTCCTTCTTTGATGACATGTTCTTTCCACTGGGATCTCACTCGCGGAGATCTTTCATTTAGTTTTTTTTTTTTTCCCCAGAGTGTAAAGATCCAACTTTCAAGAGCTCCAGTCCTCAGAGGCCCTTCTTCCAGGGCCTCTCTGATCCCATCAGGCAGAATAAAGGCTCCCTTCCTGGGCTCCCATCCACAGCACTTATAATGGAAAACATCTATTTTGGTCCCTAATTCCGTATGTTATAGACATTTTTTTTTTTTTTCTGACAGGCAGAGTTAGACAGTGAGAGAGAGAGACAGAGAGAAAAGTCTTCCTTTTCCGTTGGTTTACTCCCCCAAACGGCAGCTATAGCCGGTGCGCAGCACCGATCTGAAGCCAGGAGCCAGGCGCCTCCTCCTGGTCTCCCATGTGGGTGCAGGGCCCAAGCACTTGGGCTATCTTCCACTGGCTTCCCGGGCCACAGCAGAGAGCTGGACTGGAAGAGGAGCAACCGGGACAGAATCTGGTGCCCCAACTGGGACTAGAACCCGGTGTGCCGGCGCTGCAGGTGGAGGATTAGCCAAGTGAGCTGTGGTGCCGGCCTATTTATAGACATTTAAACGTTTCTCTTTCTAGCCAACTGTCAGGTCTATAAGAACAGTAATTTTCTTTAACCCCATACTTACTACTCATAATTCTTGGCACCTATTGGAGAATTCAATAGCTTTTTGTTCACTGAATGATGCACATGAAAACATGTTACAAATCATTATATGTTATGCAGTTATCAATTATTATCAGACACATTTCCCACAAATGTCACATTTAGCCTTCTCATGTTAGACATACCGCTTCCTTGCTGTTGTTAGCTTAAGTGGTCTTCCAGCATCATTCTTTCTGCCAGGCGTAACCTGAGGACTATCTGGAGGAACTCGCATCGCTTCGATGATCATTCTGACCGAGTGTGTTCTACCCAGAAGGGCCAGTCTATCAACACTTAACGTCATCGCTTGAGCATCTTCTGGAGCTCCTGAGAGCATCTGCTGCTCAACCAGATTTCTGGAAGGAGTTCATACAGACAGTGAGGGACACAGGCTCAGCACGGAACAATCCAGGTCGCACAGGAAAGGGGCGGAAACAGGGAGGGCAGCAAGCATCTTAATTCACAAGTTCTCAAGGACCGGAAACAGTTTTCAACGGTCAGAATCCTGACTCTGGTCACAATTTAAAATTAAAGCAATCTCGAATATAAAAAAAGTTTCTTGTTATATATAGGTCCACCTTCACACAAGTATAAATGCTATGGAATCGGGTTTTACTTTTCTTTTTTTTTTTTTCAAGATATATTCATTTATTTGAAAGTCAGAGTTACATAGAGAAGGAGAGACAGAGGTCTTCCGCCCATTGGTTCACTCCCCAGATGGCTGCAACGGCCGGAGCTGCACCGATCCGAAGGTAGGAAGCCAGGAGCTTCTTCTGATTCTCCCACACGGGTGCAGGGGTCCAAGGACTTGGACCATCTTCTACTGCCTTCCCAGGCCATAGCAGAGAGTTAGATCAGAAGAGAAGCAGCCAGGACTAGAACCCGCGCCCATATGGGATGTAGGCGCTTCAGGCCAGGGTGTTAACCCACTGTGCCACAGCGCTGGCCCTGGAATCAGGTTTTTCTAGAGGGGATAAGTTACATAACTAGTGTAATGACTACTGTCACTTTTCTGTATTTCTTTTTATTTGCTTTCCTTATGCAAATTTTATACCTAAGTGTGATCACAGTATGCATATAGTCTAGAATTCTTTCTCCTTTACTTTACTTGCACCCATTTGCTCATGTTATAACATTTTTAAGGACTGCAGTGCTTCCTGAGGTACCGTAACTTAACCCTGTGTCAGCGTTGAGGTCTTGTGAAAGCATCTTCCTTTACTCTCATTCTCTAAACAGGCATTACAGAGATGCTCACCGATTTTTCTTGCCTGCTGCTTTCTTTAGCTTCTGATCTCTTGACTCCAGAATCTTAGGAGATCTGGCAACAGCTTTTGACTGGTTCATTTTTTTAGAAGGAACACTATCATCATCTTCACTGAGGAAATCACTGATGCTGCTATCAGATTTCTATAGGGGGAAGAAACAAAGAGACAGACACTAAAAGATAATTGCCGGGGGTGGTGGTAGTAATGAAATATTTCTCTAACTGTAAGCAAGTTCTTGGCATGTACATCATTCCCTTAAAGAGATGCCTGACACCAGGGAGGGAGATAATCTCATTTTCCTCATGGTTATATAATCTGAAGTTCACAAAAATAACCTACAAATTCAGTTCAAAGCAAAGAAATGAAAGTAGTTTCCTCTGTCAAATTCTCAGTAATACTAACAACCACTATCTATTGACTGCCCACTATGTATTTGACATTATCCTAAACACTGCATGTATCTCTGTATTATTTACCGCATTCTTATAAGGTACTCACTTCAGTTTTCACAAAGGAGAAATCTGAAGTCGAGAAAAGTTAGGCAATTTATTTATGATCTACAGCTTAAATAGTAAAGCCAGATTTTGGTCTCCACAGGTTCCAAATGACTGGGACCATGTTGCCTAACTAATTATTTGGAGTCAAAGATTGCTTTTTGCCACACTATTCCAAACTACAAATGATTCATTCTGCTTTTAACCTTGCTTAGATGAAATATTGACTGTATTTCACAAATTTCCTTAATGGGGAAAACCAGTGGCTATGTCCCCTGCAACTCATTTTTTTTTTTTTTTTTTTTTTTTTTTTTTTATTTTTGACAGGCAGAGTGGATAGAGAGAGAGAGAGAGAGAGACAGAGAGAAAGGTCTTCCTTTTGCCGTTGGTTCACCCTCCAATGGCCGCCGCGGCCGGCGCGCTGCGGCCGGCGCACCGCGCTGATCCGATGGCAGGAGCCAGGAGCCAGGTGCTTTTCCTGGTCTCCCCATGGGGTGCAGGGCCCAAGCACCTGGGCCATCCTCCACTGCACTCCCTGGCCACAGCAGAGGGCTGGCCTGGAAGAGGGGCAACCGGGACAGAATCCGGCGCCCCGACCGGGACTAGAACCCGGTGTGCCGGCGCCGCTAGGCGGAGGATTAGCCTAGTGAGCCACGGCGCCGGCCTGCAACTCATTTTTATTTTGAGAAAAGGCAGCTGCCACCATTGACTGACCAGCCTCTTACATCACAAGACTCAAAATAGAGAAGATGGCATTAGAGTTATTTAGCTCTACATTTTGAAAAATTGCCTAAAGCTTGCTAGCAAAATTCAGTGTACCAGTTCAAAGTCATTTTAGGTCTATATCTCCGATTTTCTTTTTGGCATCTAAGAACATATAATGTGAACCTGTGACGGGGGACAATTTAAATAAGCGTGATAGGAATGTCTTTCTGGAAACAATACAACTTCTTCAAGGTGAAGTTACAAAGCTTTTTGCTCTTAGGTTTTTCTTCACGTGTTAGCTTTGGATGTGAAGGTGATCTGGCTGCGACATCTGTCACCCCATTGATCGCCAGGGTGGATTTGGCTGATCTGGCTGGCTAGGCAGGTGTCCCCTTCCTCCCTTGCTGCTCCATGCGTGTCCCTTCTGAAGCTGTGCGTTTGGTCAGAGAGGACGACCGTCCCCGCTAGAGGAAGACCGGTCTTCAGACAAGGGTATACGAGTAGCTGCACTCCCCTGCTGGAACCTCCAAACAAGCTCTTGAGGTCCACAAGTGGCAGCTTTTTTTTCTTTTTAAAATTTATTTAAAAGGCAGAGCTACAGAAAGAGGAGGAAAAGCAGATAGAAAGAGATCTCTGTTGGTTCACTCTCCAAATGGCCGCAATGGCCAGGGCTGGGCCAGGCCGAAACCAGGGGCTGGCTGATATGGAATGTGGACACCCCAAGTGGTGGCTTCATCTGCCACGCCCTAACACCTGTTCCTCTAGAATATTCTGAATAGACACCAGTAGAGAGTGGTTCTGAGGGCCTGGCTGCAAATACGTTAGCTCTACCTTAGATGAGCTCTAAGGAACCTATAATGTAAATCCTCAGGCAAACCTGAATTTGAATTCTGGCTCTATCACTTACTTGGCTAAGTGTCCTTGGACAAAATACACAATGTTACTAGGCTGTCTTCTCATTTGTAAGGTAAAGATGGTATCTTCTCCTGAGGTTGTCATTATGATTAACTAAGGTATGTAACATGGGTAGCTTTCTATCAGGCAAAGGGGATCCACACCTGCAGCTACTAATATTACTGACACTCTAGTTCTCTAATTCCTAATGCTTCAGTTTCAGTGACTTACAGGTGCTGTGTAAAACAAGTTCTCCAGGAGACTCTGGTCATACTGAGGGTCATTCAGCTCACTGCTGCAATACACGTCACTCCCAGGAGCTGGGGAATCCGGAGGAGAGCCTAGTCCATCCCACAAATGACCCTGGGATAATTTAGCACTGCAGAGATAATAAAGACAAACAGAAGCTTCAGCTGAAGTATTCTTCTTTAGTGAAACTTTCTAAAGTTATAAACACAGAAGCTATGTTAAAAGACTCACATAAAACAGAAGACTATAGGAAATATCGCCCAGTTATACCGCTCCCTACTCCTCTGGGAGGTCAACAAGCAGCATTCAGAAACACAGTGCTGACACTGATTGTGATCTCATTCATTTACCCAACAAGCATTCACTGATCACCTATTGTGTGCCAGGTCCGGATGATACAGAGATGGCTAAGTTAACACAGTTTCTACTCCTGTGGCATTTATGGCTTATAAGAGAGAGAAAAAGGTAAACAAACATAAATCAGTAGTTACATTTTATATGTTGTTTGTGAAAAAATGGTTTATTCATAAATATGCCTTCTTCCCTTAAGAAAACTTAGGTGTATTTAGAGTTAATTATGACAAGATTAGTTCTATGTCATAAATGACATATATAAAAATGACATATATTAAAATGAAAAAAAAATACACTCTACTTTGAAAGAGTTTGAAAACCAATAGGAAGATAAGCACATAAGTAACTACAAACTGAGAATTTTTAAGGATTAATTTTTCTTTTTTTGAAATTCCGTACCATTCTTATATATTTTTGATAGCAATTTTTTCTTTCAGGTCCTACTATAAATTCTACATTTTTCCTCAAAGTCTAAGTTCTAGGGAGCAAAGTAGGTATATATCTTGATTTTGTTTCTCCTATGGTAAGTAGTAATTAATGGATTTTTAATGAACAGCAACTGTTAATAATCAAAGCAACAGTATTTATTAAATACTAAGTGCTGGGCACTGAGCTAAACATTTCATTTATTACCTCTTTTTATTTTGCTTCCCTTTCAAGCTAGCTGCTATAATTTTTTCCTTAGCTTAAGCAAACGGGCATTATCCACTATTTTCAAATATCATGATATTCCTGTGTTACTTTCCTTAATACAGTAGGGTTTCTCAACCTTAGTGCTGACAGGTTGGGTCAGGTAATTTATTTTATTTTTTTTTTAAAGATTTATTTATTTGTTTTGAAAGTCAGTGTGTGTGTGTGTGTGTGTGTGTGTGTATAGAAATATACATAGAAAGAGAGAGAGAGAGAGACAGACAGAGAAACATCTTCCATCTACTCATTCATTTCCCAGATGGCTGCAACAGCCAGCACTGGGCTAGGCCTCCCACTTGAGTGGCAGGGGCCCAAACACTTGGGCCATCTGCTGTTGCTTTTCCCAGGCCATTGGCAGGGAGCTGGACTGGGAGTGAACCAGTGCCCATATGGGATTCCAGCATTGCAGGGAGTGACTTAACCTGCTATGACACAACGCTGGATCCTGGGTCAGCTAATTTGCCATCTGGGCTGTCCTTTGCATTTTGGATCCCTGGTCTTTACTCACCAAATGCCAAAAGCATTCCCCTGACTATGAAAAATCAAAGTGTCAGCAGACATGACCAAATGCCCAGTAAGGCTGGGGATAGGGAAGAATCACTCCCAGCTGAGAAGCATTAATCTAGAGTAATCTCTCTCTCAAAGGTCCTAACAACTTCCTAACTGCTAACATCCAACCAGCCACTTCCCTATGCACACAACCTCTGTGCAGCTTCTGAGCATGCTCCTTGTTCAAACTCTACCTCTTGGTATTCCACAGAACTCCCTTATTTGCCACTCATGATCTCTCATCCCAGCTGCTTTTTCCTCTCTGGCAATTCCCTAAAGTTACGGAGATCTCCACAGTTCAGCATATAGTCCTCCACTCTTTCCTTCTTCTTTTTAGAAATTAACATTTCTTTGACTGCCTGTCATTTGCTATGACATTTTAAAAGGGCTGGAATTTGTCTGTGCTCTTTGCCCATCGGACAAGGCCGCTCTCAGCACTATCCTCTTTTCCTTCATAAAATTATTTTAAACAAAAGCACACACACACCTACTCGGAAAGGCAGTTGTGACTAAAGCATACAATAAGAGACAGTTTTTTATTTTTTATTTTTATTTTTATTTTTTTTGACAGGCAGAGTTAGACAATGAGAGAGACAGAGAGACAGAGAGAAAGGTCTTCCTTTTCCGTTGGTTCACCCCAAAATGGCCGCTACGGCCAGCGCGCTGCACCGATCCGAAGCCAAGTGCCAGGTGCTTCCTCCTGGTCTCCCATGCGGGTGCAGGGCCCAAGCACTTGGGCCATCCTCCACTGCCTTCCCGGGCCACAGCAGAAAGCTGGACTGGAAGAGGAGCAACTGGGACAGAATCCGGCGCCCCGACCGGGACTAGAACCCGGAGTACCAGCACCGCAGGCAGAGGATTAACCTATTGAGCCGCGGGCCAGCCAAGATAGTAGTTTCTTGACTGCTCAGAGGCAATCACTCAACTCCTTTAGATGTTTCTTCTGATATTCATCCTTTGATATTTTTCTTCCTATATCTAGGTGTCATTTTCTTTATTTTTCCCCCTTTCTAGACAATCTAGATGACTGCCTATCATGAAAAACAGAGGATCAATTCTTACACTTGGACACAGATAGAAAGATCTTCCATTTGTTGGTTCATTCTCTAAAATCCCACAGCAGCTGGGGCTGGGTCAAACCAAAGCCAGGAGCCTGGAAACCAATCCAGGTTTTTCATGGGGATAGCAGGGACCAAAGTACTTGAGCCATCATTTGCCACTTTTTAGGTTGTGCATTAGCAGGAAGTTGGAACTGAAGTAGAACAGGGACTTGAAGCTAGGTACTTCAATATAGGATTTGCGTGTTCCAAACCATGTTTGTTTGTTTATTTATTTATTTATTTTTTGACAGGCAGAGTTAGACAGTGAGAGAGACAGAGAGAGTTATAGACAGTGAGAGAGAGACAGAGAGAAAGGTCCTCCTTCCGTTAGTTCACTCCCCTAATGGCTGCCACGGCTGGTGCTGTGCCGATCAGAAGCCAAGAGCCAGGTGCTTCCTCCTGGTCTCCCACGCAGGTGCAGGGACCCAAGCACTTGGGCCATCCTCCATTGCCCTCCCGGGCCACAGCAGAGAGCTGGACTGGAAGAAGAGCAACCGGGACTAGAACCTGGGATGCCGGCGCCGCAGGCGGAGGATTAGCCTTGTAAGCCACGGCGCTGGCCCCAAACCATGTCTTGATCGTTGCACCAAATGTCCACTCTGATTTGCAGCCTTGTTTGATGCCTCTGGGTTTGGTATTAGGGTAATATTGGCTTCATAAAATGACTTGGGAAGTGTCTCCTATTATTTTATGTTTTAGAAAAGTTTTTTGAAGAATTGGTCATCAGGGTCATCAGGGCTGGCCCTGTGGCCTAGTGGGTCAAGCCACTGCCTGCAGTGCCGGCATCCCATAGGGGCGCGGGTTCAAGTTCCAGCTGCTCCACTTCTGATCCAGCTCTCTGCTATGGCCTGGGAAAGCAGTAGAAGATGGCCCAAGTCCTTAGGCCCCTGCACCCTCCACCCTTGTGTGGGAGACCCAGAAGTAGTTCCTGGCTCTTGGCTTTGGATTGGCACAGCTGCAGCTGTTGAAGTCATTTGGGGAGTGAACCAGCAGGTGGAAACCCCCTGCCCCCCGCCTCTGCCTCTCTGTAACTCTGCTTTTCAAATAAATAAATCTAAAAAAAAAATTGGTCATCAACTCTTTAAATGTTTGGTAGAATTCATCAGAGAAGCCACCCAGGCTTGAGTTTCTTTGTGGGTAGTTTTCTGATGACTCAATTGTCAATCTCTTTACTTGATTACTAATTCAATCTGTCTTCCTCTTATAGATGTATTCAGTTCAACTATTTCTTCTTGAGTCAGTTTTGGTGATTTGTCTACATTATTGTCATGCAATTGTTCACATTATTCCTTTATAATCTGGTTAATTTCTACAAAATTGGATTAATTTTCAAAATTGGATTTAATTTCTAATCCTAACAATATTTGTCTTCTCTTTTTCCTTACTGATTTCCTACCCCTCCCTGGAAAGACAGCCACTGACTGACTGGATGTTAGGGGGAAAGGGAGCCCAGTTCTTGACTGTTGTATTCTGGAATGGAGTTTCTTTGAGTTGGGAGGGACATGGATAGAGATCTTGATGCAGATATCAATGTGGAAGGTCGTGTTCTCTTGTACAGGGAATTTCACTTTTATAATTTCTTTATCTTCTTTCTTTTCCCCATCTTCTCTTTTTGGAATTCCAATTATGTGGATGTTGAAGCTCCTGAAAATATCTCAATTAAATTGCTTTTTTCCTATTTTGCAACTCTGTCCTTTTTGTTAAACTTTCTAGGATTTTCCTTATCTTTCTCTTGCAGATGTTTGTTGAATCTAGTTCTTTGTCTACAAGTTGGAGGTACTCCTCAGTTGTCTATAAATCTTGGCTATTTGCTCATATTAAAAGTCAGGCACTGAAATACTGACTGGAAGATGTATATGCAGGTTGGAAGCTGGGCAGAACTTGTTAACTGGGGGGCTACATTATAAAACACTTGGACAGAACTATATTATTTTGTGGGGTAGCCTCTAAGCGTCCGTATCTGTATTACTTTTCTCTTGAGCTGGACAGTTTCTAGGCAGAAATCTGATTCTCCTACTAAGAGGAAGTGTGGCTGCCAGAAGAAAATGACAGGTAGAAGTCTTCATCATTCTACATCCAGACTTTTTTTTTTTTTTTTTTTTTTTTTTGGCAGGCAGAGTGGATAGTGAGAGAGAGAGAGAGAGAGAGAGAGAGAGAAAGGTCTTCCTTTGCCGTTGGTTCACCCTCCAATGGCCGCTGAGGCCAGCGTGCTGCGGCTGGCGCACCGCGCTGATCCGATGGCAGGAGCCAGGTACTTCTCCTGGTCTTCCATGGGGTGCAGGGCCCAAGCACTTGGGCCATCCTCCACTGCACTCCCTGGCCACAGCAGAGAGCTGGCCCATCCAGACTTTTTTTAAAAAAATATTTATTTATTTATTTATTTGAGAGGTAGAGTTACAGACAGTGAGAGGGAGAGACAGAGAGAGAGGTCTTCCTTCTGTTGGTTCACTCCCCAAATGGCTGCAAAGGCTGGAGCTATGCCAATCCAAAGCTAGGAGGCAGGTGCTTTTTCCTGGTCTCCCATGCAGGTGGCAGGAGTCCAAGCACTTGGGCCATCCTCCACTGCTTTCCCAGGCCACAGCAGAGAGCTGGATTGGAAGAGGAGCAGCCAGGACTAGAACCGGTGCCCATATGAGATGCTGGTGCCGCAGGTGGAGGATTAACCTGCTGTACCATGGCGCCAACTCCTCTATATCCAGACTTAAACTTAATCTCTTATTCCTCAGCATGCTGCTCTCATTGACCCTTAGTTGTGCTTGGCAGCCTTAACCTAGAAAGCTGCTAGTCCTACCACACAGAGAATGAACTTCTAGACTTTCCCTGGGCAGAGGAATAGTTCTCTTGGCTCTGGGGGTGAGGGGCAATGTTATGAAAATATTTAATATTAATAACTATTAAATTAAATATTAATAAATGTTAATAAACATCAGGTCAAGAAGTATTCTAGGGAGCTTTCAGGAATTAACTCATTGAATCCATATAATCTATTACTAAAGTAGATTAATTATGATATCCATTTTATAGATGAGACAACTGTTGTTAAGTAAGCAAGGCATGTTATGTAACCACTAGGGAACGGCAGAGCTCAGATTCAAATTCCAGTTTACTGTCTCTTTAGGTCCTGGAGGAAGGGATGAGTAGACTAAATGCTTTTTTTTTTTTCTTTTTTTTTTTTTTTTGACAGGCTGAGTGAGCAGTCAGAGAGAGAAAGACAGAGAGAAAGGTCTTCCTTTGGCTGTTGGTTCACCCTCCAATGGCCCCCGTGGCCGGCGCGCTGCAGCCGGCGCACTGTGCTGATCTGAAGCCAGGAGCCAGGTGCTTCTCCTGGTCTCCCGTGTGGGTGCAGGGCTCATACACCTGGGCCATCCTCCACTGCACTTCCTGGCCGCAGCAGAGAGCTGGCCCAGAAGAGGGGCAACCGGGACAGAATCCAGCACCCCGACCAGGACTAGAACCCGGGGTGCCGGTGCCGCAGGCAGAGGATTAGCCTAGTGAGCCACACTGCTGGCCCTTTTATTTTTTCTTAACTAGTCCTCATTTTTAGTCTCAAATTTAAATACTGCCTTGAAAGACAGCTGGTGTTCCAATCTGACTCTTTCTGGGCTTCTGTAATCAAATGTTGGTTCTCTAACTTCCCAGGTACAGCTTTCTCTATTAGGTCAATTACCCTTGTCCATGTGTTTACTGGCTTCCAAAATTTCACTGACCCCTTTTATCTCCTGTCGTCTCTCTTTTCGATGTTTGTGATTTTATATCTTTTCTATATCTTTACCATCATTTTACTGAGGTTTTAGAGGAGTGGGCATTAAAAGTTGTGTCCTCAGGCCTGCGCGCGGCTCACGAGGCTAATCTTCCATCTGTGGCGCTGGCACACCAGGTTCTAGTCCCGGTCGGGGAGCCGGATTCTGTCCCGGTTGCCCCTCTTCTAGGCCAGCTCTCTGCTGTGGCCCGGGAATGTAGTGGAGGATGGCCCAAATCCTTGGGCCCTGTACCTGCACAGGGGACCAGGAGAAGCACCTGGCTCCTGGCTTTGGATCAGCGCGGTGCGCTGGCCGCAGCGGCCGTTGGAGGGTGAACCAACGGTAAAGGAAGACCTTTCTCTCTGTCTCTCTTTCTCTGTCCACTCTGTCAAAAAAAAAAAAAAAAAAAAGTTGTGTCCTCTATTCTTTTTTTTATTAAACATTTTTTTAAAAAGATTTTTTATTTATTTGAGAGGTAGAGCTACAAACAGAGAGAGGGAGAGACAAAAAAAGGTCTTCTATCCGTTGGTTCACTCCCCTAATGGCTGCAACGGCCAGAGCTGGGCTGATCCGAAGCCAGGAGCCAGGAGCTTCTTCTGGGTTTCCCACGCAGGTGCAGGGGCCCAAGCACTTAAGTCATCTTCTACTAGTTTCCCAGGTCATAGCAGAGAGCTGGATCGGAACTGGAGCTGCCAGGACTTGAACTGGTGCGCATAGGGGATGCTGGCACTGCAGGTGGAGGCTTTACTGCTATGCCATAGCCTGGGCCCCGTGTCCTCTATTCTTAACTTCATTCTACCATATCCACCCTCGGTGATCTTGTTAATTCCCAAAGTTTCAATTATTGCAGTGTAGGTAATAAATCTGCAATTTTTACCTTTAGGTTAATCCTTTCTCCACTTATCTAGCTCATATATCCAAGTGCCTACTAGATAGCCACATGTGAATGTTCCACAGGCAACTCAAGTTTAACAGAGCTATAGGCTCAAGCCTGAACTTACTACCTCCAAACCCTTGTCTATGCCTTTTCGAGGATTTCTACTCCAATCTTTTTGACCCATGGAGCCACTAACACCAAAACTCTACATGTCATTTATTTTACTCTTTGTCCTCAACTATTGATGTCTTGACTCTTCATCCCCCTTAGCGAGGAAAAACTCACATGCCTTCTCATCTCTTATCTGGTTGATTTTCCATACTATTGGCACACTCCTCTTTTTTGTTCTTCTGCTCAAAATATTTTAAAATTTGTAAATAAAAATTTATTTTAAAAGAGAGACAGAGTTAGGGAGGGAGGAAAGAGAAAGTGGTAGGGAGAAGAGATAAAGGGAGAGCTATCTCTTATCTATCAGTTCACTCCTCAAATGCTCCCAATAGCCAGAGCTGGGCCAGACCCAGGAACCTGGAACTCAGGTTCCTTGGGTGGCAGTGACCCAAGTACTTGAGCCATCATCAGCTGCTTCCAGGTATTAGCAGCAAGTTGGAATAGAGAGTAGAGCTAGGACTCAAATTTAGACACTACTATATGGGATGCAGGCATCCCAAGCAATGTCTTAACTGCTGCACTAATGCAAGCCCCTGCTCAAAATATTTTTGATGTCTACCCAATTTCTATAATATGAAGTATACACTCACTAATATAAAATTCAAAGTATTTCAAAGCATAATTTTAATTTATTTTATTATACCTTTATTGTCCTCATCTGTTCCATCATTAGCATATCAAAGGATTATGTAGATTAGCCAATTCTTTATGGGAAGTCTAAACTTTAACCAAATCAAACTAATTGCAGTTTCTGAAGCATACATTCTCTCAAATCTCTTTAACTCAGAACACAAAAGCTTTTAACAAGCATGTCTTACTCCCATTCCAAAACATGAATATAGAGAGTAGCTTACTAAAGACACAAGAAATAGATGAGTCTAGCTTATGGACCCATGTGAGGAATAATATTAAACAATGGTAGCAATATTTATTATTATTAATCAAACTACTAGGTATCAAGCATAGCATTATATATGCATCATTCCTAATCTTCAAAATAATTTTTCAAAGTTGGGTATTATTCCAATTTTACTAATGTCTCTAAAGTTCAGAGATATCTGCTTAAGGTCACAAAGCTAGCAAGAGACAGACCTCAAATTTCAATTAGTGTCTGATTAAAATTCATGTTCTTTTCATCATCCCATGCCAACACTGGTACTGGGAAAAACACCGGCAGATAATAGCAAGGGATTGGGAATCACTCTGTAAGCAAAGCCAAGAATGGAAGGCTGAAAACTGGATTTTTATTTAGTAGGCAATGAGTAGTAGCTTAAGGAACACGGAAGGACTCGGTTACTCTTACATCTTAATACATCTTAATAATGTACACAATTAACTGGAGGAAGAATTTAAGAGGAAGAAAGCTAGCTAAGAGTACTTACCTTCCTAATAGCAGTTGTATAGCACTGGTATCAGCTTTTGTGTCATGTTTCCAAAATGTGTTCTCAGTTGGAGAAGGGAGATGATCCTCCTTGTGATCCTTAAGTCGATTCTGTGGAAAGGCTCTCATTCTGTAACGTATGGAAAAAATACTTTCTCACTGAGTGGCTCACAGGTGGGAAAAGTCTAAATCATAATTAAATGAGCTAAGAGATAGTACATGGATTCTGATTGAGAAAATGTAACATACTTTAGACTTAACTGCCTTAAACATATATAAACCTTGCAAATCTGTTTCCTACATTAGAATTTCATTTCATACAGAGCAAACAGGCTCATTTTATATGCAAACATGCCAATTCAGAGAGAGCAAAGAATTTATCACTTTATATATTTAACAAGCACCAGCACATGGGCTGCCATGTGACCGAGCAGTTGGGATGGTAATTGAGCAGTCCATGTCCCACACTGGAGCGTGTGGGTTTGAAGCCTGCCTCTGATTCCTGGCTCCAGCTTCCTGTTAGTGCAGACTCCGGGAGGCATCCTGCCATCCACATGAGTTCCTGGATTCTGCTTTCAGCCTTGGTCTTGGCCTAGTCCCAGCCATTGTGGGTGGAGGGTGAACCAGTAGATTAGACTTCTCTCTCTGTATATCTGTCTCTCAAATAAATAAATACAAATTTACAAGAAGAGAATTATTTGTTAAATCAAGATCATCCAGTTTATAACTTGACAAGAAACACAGGCTAGCAATTACTAAGAAATGACTTGTTGGGGAATGTGTCTCTCTTGTCACTTACTGTGTTGATGCTCTAAGAGACTCTTCCATCATAGGAGGAGGAACTTTGTCTAACAGCATGCTAGTATCTGGGCTTGATTTCATTGCCGAAATCACCATGGCATTACGAAGTTTATTGCCTTGTTCTAACAAAGCTGAGGAGTACAAAGCAGAAAATGAAAACTCTTAAAACCCAGCAAAAATATTAGAAATATTCAACCTATTTCCTTTATTATAGGACTTAGCACAGTATATCATCATATTTGTCTGCCTTCTCACTAGCTTGAAAATTTCTTGAGGGTGAGCCGGCGCCGCGGCTCAATAGGCTAATCCTCCACCATGCGGCGCCTGCACACCGGGTTCTAGTCCCGGTTGGGGCGCCGGATTCTGTCCCGGTTGCCCCTCTTCCAGGCCAGCTCTCTGCTATGGCCAGGGAGTGCAGTGGAGGATGGCCCAGGTGCTTGGGCCCTGCACCCCATGGGAGACCAGGAAAAGCACCTGGCTCCTGGCTCCTGCCATCGGATCAGCGCGGTGCGCCGGCTGCAGCGGCGGCCATTGGAGGGTGATCCAACGGCAAAGGAAGACCTTTCTCTCTCTGTCTCTCTCTCTCACTGTCCACTCTGCCTGTCAAAAAAAAAAAAAAAAAATTTCTTGAGGGTATTTATTTAGCAAAAGATGTTTACTGAGCTTCTCTTATATGCACTGTTTTAGATGCTGGTATCACAGTAATGACTGAAATCTCTGTTGTGGACAGAATGTTTCTTGTGGGAGTTTCTTGTGACCCTTCCAACTGCTGTTGGTTCATAAAGATCCGTAATATCTATATGCCATTTTCATAACCACATCTTACTGACTTGTTATTTGCAAGAGTTCTAATATAATTTTTGAAAAAGCTTTATTTATTTGAAAGGCAGCTTACAGAGAGAGAGAGAGATAGAGAGAGAGAGAGAGAGAGATCTTCCATTCATTGGGTCACTTTTTTTTTTTTTTTTTTGAAGATTTATTTATTTTAAAGGCAGAGGCAAAGGTAGAGAGGGAGGTCTTCTATCTGCAGGTTCACTCCCTAGATGGTCGCCAAAGGCTGCAGCTGTGCAGATCTGAAGCCAGGAGCCAGGAGCTTCTTCCAGGTCTCCTACACAAGTGCAAGGGGCCCAAGACTTGAGCTATGTTCTACTGCTTTCCCAGGCCACAGCAAGAGAGCTGGATGGGAAGTGCAGCAGCCGGGACTCAAACTGGCACCCATATGGGATGCCAGTGCTGCAGGCCACAGCTTTACCTGTTATGCCACAGTGCCAGCCTCCTGGTTCACTTTCTAAATGGCTACAACAGCCAGGGCTGGGTCAGGACAAAGGTAGAAGCCAGGAGCTGCTTCTGGGTCTCCCATATGAATACAAGGGCCCAAGCACTTGGGCCATCTTCCACTGCTTTTCCCAGGTGCATTAGCAGGGAGCTGGATTGGAAGTGGAGCAGTCAGGACTTGAACTAGTGCCCATATGGGATGCCGGTGCTGCAGATGGCAGCTTAACTCATCGTGCCACAGTGCCAGTCCCTTAATATTGTATCATTCTTAACCAAAAACACTAACAATTATACTAGATAAAGCTTGAAGAGTGATAATATATTTTACATTTATACTTTTATGAATAAAGAAAAGAATGCCCCCCCCCCCCAAAAAAAACCACATTTCCTTGACTCATCCACAATCCACGATCATACCTGAGGTTACTGGAAATGTGGAGATAAAATCCAAATCATTAGGTTTTCTGATAGGTTAAAATTTAGTACATCCCTCAAGTAACAGCAGCAACAAAAATTATGGCAGCTAACATTTACTGAACCCTAGGCACCAATTTAAGTGTTTTACACATATTAATCATTCCAATGCTTTTCTGAGTTATATATTATAATCTTTATTTTCTTTTTTTAACTGTAAGCCTGATAGCTGTTTTCTATTCATATGAAAAGTAGAGTTACAGAAAGGTGGGGGGAGGGAGGGAGGGAGGAAGAAAGGAGGGAGAGGGAGAAGGAGGGGGTGCGGGAGGGGGAGGGGGAGAGAGGTCTTCCATCTGCTGGTTTATGCTGCAATGGCTTTGGCTGGGCCACAGAGCTTCTTCTGGGTCTCCCACATGGATGCAGGGGCCCAAGCACTTGGGCCACCTTCCATGGCTTTTCCAGGAGTATTAGCAGAGAGCTGAATTGGAAGTGGAGTAGCCAGGATTCGAAATGGCACCTGTATGGGATGCTCGTGTCACAGGTGGAAGCTTAACCTGCTATGACACAATGCCATCCCCAATATATTTTATTTTCTAGATAAAGATGTTGAGGTAGAGGATAAACAACTTGCACAAGTTATATATGCAATACAGACACCCTAGTTCCCCCTTGTCTGCAGTGTCAGCTACCTGTGAACCAAAAATATTACACAGAAAATTCTAGAAATAAACAAGTCATAAGTTTTAAATAAAGGACTGTCTGGGTGGTGTAATGAAATCTCATACTATTATGCTCTGTCTTGCCCAGGATATGAATCATTCCTTTGTCCAGTGTATCCATACTGTATGCCACCTGCCTGACAGCCATTTAGTAGCTGTCTTGTTATCAGATCTACAGTTACGGTATTGCAGTGTTGTGTTCAAATAAACCTTACTTTACTTAATAAAGGCCCTAAAACTCACAGTAGTGATACCAGCAATTCGGATATGCCAAAGAGAAGCCCATAAAGTGTTTCCTTTAGGTGAAGAAGTGGAAGTTTGCAACTTATTGGAAAGAAAAGAAAGATACCACATTCACATAACTTCTACTACAGTAAATTGTTATAACTTCTATTTTATTAACAGTTATTGTTAATCTATTCTTGTGTCTAATTTATAGATTAAACTACAGCATAGGTATGAAAGTATAGTAAAAACCATACACGGGGTTCAGTACAAATCACAAGTCTAAGCGTCTGAGGGTCCTGGAAAGTGCTCTATGTGGATATGGGTCGGGTAGCTCTTGGAAGACAATGCACACTGGCAGCACATGGGATGCACCTGGCATGTTCTGGTTGGCTTGAACAATTAGATAGCATGGTCTGGATTTTAAAAAACAAAACAAAATGAAACAACACCCCAGCAGGACTAGGTAAACAACACATCCTACAGAAGCATGAAGCAGAGAACTTTGCCTTTCAGTCTGAGACAGTGGCCATATGAGAGCTAAAGAGCAGTGCCTCTTTGACAGGGCAGGTGCTCCCTAACTGAGCTTTTAAAATGAGGATATCTTCAGTTTAAAATGAGGATGGCAATCCCTACTTCCTGAGGATAAAGCACTTGACATAGTAGTTAGCACATGGGTCCTGCTGAGCAAAGGGTAGCTACATTTTCTCCAGGCCAAGTTAGCTTTTGGTGGTCCTCTGATGAGCCTAGTTACTCTCCTTAGAAGAAATTCATCTTTTCTAGAGCTTTAACGTTGCCTTATTAATAAGGCATTCTTTTTCTTTTTTTTTTTTATTTGATAGGTAGAGTTACAGACAGTGAGAGAGAGACAGAGAGAAAGGTCTTCCTTCCACTGGTACATTCCCCTAATGGCCACTACGGCCTGCGCTGTGCTGATCCGAAGCCAGGAGCCAGGTTCTTCTTCCCGGTCTCCCATGCGGGTGCAGGGACCCAAGCACGTGGGCCATCCTCCGCTTCCCTCCCAGGCCACAGCAGAGAGCTGGACTGGAAGAGGAGCAACCGGAACTAGTATCCGGCACCCCAACTGGGACTAGAACCCAGGGTGCCGCGCCGCAGGCGGAGGATTAGCCTAGTGAGCCATGGCGCCGGCCCAATAAAGCATTCTTTTGCCAACTGATATACAATGAATATTCAGTCCTCTCATTTTTTTCCCCATTGCCACTTGCATCATCTGATTTCCTGATCTAGTTTATCATTTGTCTCTAAGATCTCAAAGGCAGAAGTTTGTGTCTATTTCTTAAAGCATTAAACAACTATATCCCTGATATACGGAAGAGTGTCAGACATTTGATGGGTGCTGAATAAATAATTGCTTACTGAATGAAAAAAATATCTTAAAGTTGGGTACAGGGTCTACACAAAATTTTCCAAGTATGAACTGACAAGTACTAAGTACACCGGGAAATTTTTACTCTTGTTAATGTAGTCTAGGCAATAAAGACCAAAATCAATAATTATAATCTTGGGATATATTTTTAAAAATAGGAAATCAAGGCTGGCGCCGTGGCTCACTAGGCTAATCCTCCACCTAGCGGCGCCGGCACACCAGGTTCTAGTCCCGGTTGGGGCGCCGGATTCTGTCCCGGTTGCCCCTCTTCCAGGCCAGCTCTCTGCTGTGGCCAGGGAGTGCAGTGGAGGATGGCCCAGGTGCTTGGGCCCTGCACCCCATGGGAGACCAGGAAAAGCACCTGGCTCCTGGCTCCTGCCATCGGATCAGCGCGGTGCGCCGGCCGCAGTGCGCTGGCCGCGGCGGCCATTGGAGGGTGAACCAACGGCAAAGGAAGACCTTTCTCTCTGTCTCTCTCTCTCACTGTCCACTCTGCCTGCCAAAAAAAAAAAAAAAAAAAAAGAAAAAGGAAATCAAAATATGAACAGAATGTTGTCATTTAAAAAATGTTCTTTCTGGGACTGGTGCTGTGGCTCAGCAGGTTAAGCTGCCACATGCAATGCCAGCAACCCACAGAGGTGCTGGTTCGAGTCCTGGCTGGTTCCACTTCTAATCCAGCTCCCTGATGATGTGCCTGGGAAAGCAGTGGAAGATAGCTCAAGTCCCTGTGCCCCTGCCACCCACATGGGAGACCTGGAAAAAGTACCTGGCTCCTGGCCTAGCCCCAGCCATTGTGGCCATATAGGGAGGGAACCAGCAGATGAAGATCTTTGTCTGACTCTCCTTCTCTAATTCTGCCTTTCAAAAAAACAAACAAACAAATAAATCTTTTTTAAAAAAAATTCTTACCAATGTAAATTATGTACTTGAATAGTTATTTAAAAGGTGTTTTTTTTTTTTCAAAAAGATATATTTATTTGAAAGTCAAGTGTTAGAGAGAGAGAGGATGAGACACAGAGAGACGGAGAGGGAAAGGGAGAGGGGGAGAGGGGGGGAGAGGGAGGGAGAGGGAGGGAGAGGGGAGGGAGAGGGGGAGAGATAGAGAGGGATCCTCCACCCATTGGTTCACTCCCCAGATGGCCACAACACCCAAGATTGGGCCAGGTTGAAGCCAGGAGCAGGGAGCTTCATCCGGGTCTCCCACATGGGTACTAGGGGTCCAAACACATGTGCCATCTTCTGCTGCTTTTCCTAGGCCATTAGTAGGGAGCTGGATCAGAAGTGCAGCAGCTGGGACACAAACTGGCACTCATATGGGATGCTAGCATAGCATTAACAGCTATGCCACACACTAGCCCCTAAAAGGTTTTTCGACGAACGCTCCATATACTCTACTTTGGGAACTGTATTTGTATGGTGACAAATTCCTGTGGCACTCCTGATGTAATGGTTGACCATTATAGAGCATTTTCAATACACTGATTTAATTATACCACTCCCTAAAATGAGATAATCTAATTCTGTTCTTATTGGCTTTTTTATTTGAGTCTAAGTCCTTACATAGGTAAGGACATTCTACTAATGCTTGGCCACAAGTGATATTTAATCCCCAGGTTTAAGATTGGAGTTGTTCTGCATTGAATATTCCCACTAAGACTAACAGTTTTCAGAATGTGAAATAGATTTCGTTCTAGCCTCTATTCAAAAGTGTAAGTAAATGCTGAGGGTGAGACAAAAACCTTGTTTGCCTTGAAATATTTGGGAAAAAAATAAGGGGTAATATTTTGCTATGACAAAGGCATTCTGCTATATCCAGGTTCCTATTGAATGGTTCCTTCCCTAAACCTACAATTTTAAGAACCTAGTAATTATTTAGAAACTATTTGGTGGTTTAATAGAGCTATTGTAAACGGTGAGAGATTCTGGACTCTACCAAGACTTCTTAGTTTTATTTGGCTATTTAGTTTAAACAGACGACTTGGTTTTCTTTGTAGGCTTGCTAATAAGCAGAGTAAGCGCATAAATACAGCTCAGTCTCAGTTTACAAACATATACATACCTGAAAGAAGGTCTTTGGTAGGCGGGTGGTTTGAAGAAAGAATGCATGAGTCACTACGACTCTTGGCAACAGTTGTAATTTGAGGCTGGATTTCAGAACTACTGAGAAGGGACATCTGTTTCTGTGCAGCTCTGCCTTTCAGAGTCACAGATTCTAAACTCTGACCTGAATTAAGATGGTGCTGTAGTCCAAAGAAAGAGTCCTTCATTGTATCGGAATTCTCTGTGAAGTACAAGTGGTCTTTTCCCCTGTTTAAAAAAAAAAAAAAAAAAAAGAAGAAGAATATCAACACTACATAATGCAGTATGGTAACACTCTACTTTGTCAGAGGTAGAAATTGCCTCTCTCTTTTTCATCTCCCAAATGAGAGAAACAACAGATGGTTTACCTACTGTTGGAGGGCTGTAGCATAAGTGAGACACAGAACAAATACCTCATAAGTACTTTAAACAAGAATCTGTTTCTTTGGGTGGGTGTTGAGGTGTAGCAGATTAAGTCCCTGCTTGGGGACAGCTGTGGGCATTTGGAGAGTGAACCAGCAGATGGAAGATTTCTGTTTTTCAAATAAACTTTTTTTTTTTAAAAAAACAATGTTTCTTTTATTTCAATGTATTTCACAAAATAATGCCCTTTCCCTGATGGACAGCTATTCTGGCATCTGCTTACCCTATGCCATATTAATCTGTATGCTGGCTTCCCCTCTAGACTGTGGGTAGTGTAGTCCTTGAAAATAGGAACTGCATTATGAATCTCTATGCCCAGCACCTAGTATCACACCAGGCCCATACCTACTTCGTGCTTCATGGTTATCTGTTGACTAAGTGATTGAAGCTCTCTCTGTCTTTGGTCTTTTACTCAGCCACAAATGAAAAAGAAATCACAAGTTCAACAGCAGTTAGCTGACAGAAGGAAAGGTGCTGGCATGGAATTACCTTAGAGTGGTTGATCTACTGCTGCTGGCGGCCAACTCCTTGCCATCAGCTTTGATGGTAGGGATCCTCTGGGGCCGTGACGGAACCAGAAACTGGGTATTGCAGGGTTCAGCATCCTCTCTGAATCCACGTTCAGAAAAAAGTACATTTTCTGTTTTGTCAGTGGTAGGAAAAGGATTGTAGCTGTTGTAAGTTTCTGACAGAGGCTCCAGGGCAAGTGAGACCTGAAACAGACACGTATGCATCAGAGATTTTCTTAGCACTGACTAACTCATTTTTGGACTTTTCTGCTTCATAGATAATAATGGCCCCATTCCTTACAGGATGACATCTAACTTCCTGTCCTGCCTACAGGAAAAGCCGCATTTTTCACCATGCTCCTTTTTCATCTCTCTGTCCTGGACAGCCCAATTACTTGGGTTTCTCTAAATGTATCCTATGTTTCATAGCTTTATGTCTTTGTATAGAAATGTACTCTAGAATTAACTCTTTATGTCCAGGTAGAGATGCCTTGTCTCCTGCTTCCTTCATGTTTCTACTCATTCTGTATCCAACAACATACCCACCACTTACTGACCACTGTTATATAGGCCAGGAACTGTACCAATTTGCTTAGCCAGAGAAGCTTCTATCATGATGTAACTCTGTTAGGGAAGAATAATATTCTAAGAGAAAGGGCATTATTTTGTGAAATGCAAGGAAATAAAAGAAACATCTTTCATTCTAAGGTGTGTATGCATGTGCATGCATGTTCAAATTAGTACCTTAGAAAAGGCATTTACAACTTTCAGTGATCATCCTAATTAGATTATGAATTCTTTGAAGATGTATGTTACCTTAATTTTTCTATGGACTAATTGTTTAGTGTAGTACCTGTACATGGGGTACACAATCTAATACACCTAATAATCTGATAAATAAAAGAATGACATAGCACCCTCTGCATTCTTATTGTCAGTTACTTAGGAAAAATAAGTCTCTTGTTCTATGCTATTAGATGAGGTAAGGAAGGAGGAACACTAAGATAAAAAAATAATCACATTATAATTTCATTCCTATGAATTAAACAGCTCTAGTGAAAGGTTCTCTCATCCTCTTAAAAGCCCAATAGAGAAAAGTCTAATGAAGTTATAAAAAATAAAATAGAGCCTAAAGCAAAACCTTGGAGAAGAAATTGAAGATTATACTTAAAAAAAAAAAAAAAGACCAGCAGTGTTGAAAGTGTTAGTGTCAATGTCAGATCGAGCAGAAGAAATTGTTGAAGCAGCCAAACACAGTCAAATAATGATGAATGGCCTAACACAAAAATGAGAAATTGCAGTTAGATGTCTTTCAGATATCTCTGAGAATGTCATTGGAATATTTTGTGTAGAAAATTACTATGGTAGAAACTCATTAAAATGTGCCTGAGTCTTCATGAGAAGGATTCTGTTCATGAACCAGGTAACATAAGGTCCTTCAAATCTATGCAACATCGAGATTTTTATATAAAGACAAATGGCAGGAGTACAGCAGGATAAGGACTCTGTAGTGATCACTTAGGTACATCACATACAATCCTGGCTCCCCAAATGCTGATGTCACAAAATGTTCCCTTACCATTCATCACTTGCCAAAGACCGCCACTGCATTCCAGAAGTAAAGGAGACATAAAGGTCTGAGTCCCTGGCCTTAATAATGACTCAGTTGCTGGCCACTGACTTTTGTTTTCGCCCTAAGCAGATCTGAATCAGTAACAAATCAACTCATGGGCCTATACTACCATTGGCCCCTGATTGAGAAGTCCAGACATAAGCCTCTTCCATCTTACATCAAAATACAGAAGATGCATTGTTTCTCTGCCTTTTGGCTAAGATCAAGTGTAAAATATAGAAGATGGCCTAATTCCTGTTCAGCTAAATAGCTGATATCAGCTCTGTGCCACCTGCCTGAAGCAAAGAGATGACTAAAATATGGACTTAAAACCAGAGGATCACAGTGTCTTGCAGGGAAAACTTTACAAAGTAATTTTAATATAAAATGGTGAATTTTTAGATAAGGATGTATATTAGGCCCACTAACAAGGGGTCTCAGCTTGGGCAAGAGTTGAGGAAGGAGTGCCAGGACGGTTTCCAGGAGTGAAATACAAACATCTGAGCGGAGAAACTTAACTACGAATGATACAGATAAAGCTGAAAGGAGCTGAGGTAGAACACTAGAGGCAGAAGGAAGAACTTGAGTCAAACTTCAGTGGTATAAACCAGGATACTGTCCATCAATTCCCATCAGTTTACATCATCTACTCCTAACCCTTCTGCTTCCCACAATCTACCCAATACACTCCTGCATTCATCTTCCAAATCTTCACTCATGCCCACCTCAGTCACAGCTCACCCTTGTTCTCACTGCTCTGCCGAACCCTTCATTGAGCCCTGCAGAATTTCTATTGTATATAAACTACTTTACCTTTTTAACCAAACATTGCTTTCTAAATATGTCCCCATTTCCCTGAAGTCTTCTCCAAAGGAAATTACTTGCACTATCTGGGATAAGGGAAGCTGACTTATCTCTTTCTTCCTGGTGCTATCTACATATTCTATCATCTAAATATGTCACCCCTCTTCTGAAGCTCATACCACTCATATATACGCTTCTCTCACCCATAACACAGTAACCTGATAAGTCTTCTAGCAATGACTCAAGGTTCTCTTTAGCACTAAGTTGCTGACAACCATCTACTATATTGATAATATTTTCTGGTATCAGAGAAAATTACTATGCCTAATTTTCAGACTTATGCTAGTTAACACAGTGTTTTTAAACATTTAAATCACTTAACAATGTTTTACAAAAGAGAACATCTAGCAATGCTGGGTCCCCATTCTTATGTCGCAAATATTAATTAGACTGACTAGTGGCTTCAGTAAAGGTCTGTGCTCCAGCTATAAGTCCCTAGCTCATCCCAGTGTGAGGCAGTGACAATTGCTATTTATCATCACACCTAGGCTTCTAGCTTTTGAAATTTTTTTTCTTACAGTAAAACTGACATTTTCATAAATGTACAGTTTTATGAGTTTTTTTTTTTTTTTTAGATTTATTTTGAAAGTCAGAGCTACACACACAGAGAGAGGGAGAGGCAGAGAAAGAGAGAGAGAGAGATCCTCCATCCACTGGTCCACCCTACAATGGCCGGAACTGCGCCCATCCGAACCTAGGGGCCAGGAGCCTCTTCTGGGTCTCCCATGCAGGTACAGGGGCTCAGAGACTTCGGCCATCTTTTACTGTTCCCCCAGGCCATAGCAGAGAGCCAGATCAGAAGTGGAGCAACCAGACTAGAACTGGTGCCCACATGGGATGCCAGCACTGCAGGCAGCGGCCCCACCCAGTACACCACAGTGCCTGTCCCCAGTTTTATGAGTTTTAACATGGGTATAGATGCATGTAACCATCACCATTATCAAGACACAGAACACAAACATCACCCCAGAAAACTCTCTTTTGTAGTTCCATTGTTTCCTTACCTCTGACCCCTAACAACTAGTGATCATAGTTCTGTCGTTTCAAGAATGTTATATAGGGGCCTGTGCTGTGGCACAACAGGTTAAAGCCCTGGCCTACAATGCTGGCATCCCACATGGGTGCTAGTTTTAGTACCAGCTGTTCTACTTCTGATCCAGTTCCCTGCTAATGTGCCTGGGAAAGCAGCAGAGAATGGCTCAAGTCCTTGGACCCCTGCACTCACGTGGGAGACCTGAAGAAGCTCCTGGCTCCTAATTGGCTCAGCTCTGGCTGTTGCTGCCATTTGGGGAGTGAATCAGCAGATCAAAGACCTCTCTCTCTCTCTGTCTCTAACTCTCTCTGTAATTCTTTCAAATAAATAAAATAAATCTTTTTTTTTTTTTTTTTTAAAACAAGGTGTCATATAAGGGGCTGGTATTGTGGCATAGTGGGTTAAGTTGCAGGCTGCTTCACTTCCAATCTAGCTCCCTGCTAAAGCACCTGGGAATGCAGCAGAGGAGGGCCCAAGTGCTTGGGCCCCTGCACCCACATGGAAGACCTGGAAGAAGCTCCTGGCTCCTGGCTTTGGACTTGCTCAGCTCTGGCTGTTGTAGTCATCTGGGGAGTGAATTAACAGATGGAAGACCTCTCTCTATGACACTCTCTCTGTAACTCTGCCTTTCAAATAAATAAAATAAATCTTTAAAAAGAAAAGAATGTCATATATTCATAAAATAGATAACATTTTGAAATGAACTCTTTTCATAATGTTTCCGAGATCCTTCCATGTGATGATGCACATATTCAATAGCTTTTATTGGTTGAGTAATAGGAGGGAATCTTCAAAAATTTCATGGAAAATGCATATTATGAAAAGATTGTATGAATTTAAATATTTCTACACCAAAACAAACTACTTTTAATTCCATTTTCCCACAAACTTTTTGATGTACCTTCATATTCCACTGTTAATGTGGCTCATCACATTCATCTTCCTGAGACAAATCCTACTTGGCATGACACTGTTCTTTTTATATGATGCTAGCCTCCATTTGCTAATGTTTTGTTTGAAATTTTTAGATTCAAGTTCATGAATAGAATGTGTGTATAGTTTTTCTGTACTACCCTTCTCCAGCTTTAATATAAAGGTGGTACAGGTCTCAAAATAACTTTCTGGAAGAGACTGTAAAATTGATGTTATTTCTTCTTTAAATGTTTCTAAGAATTTGTTAGTAAATAAGTATTAAGATTTCTTTTTTGGAAGGTTTTAAGTTACAAATTTAATTTAAAGAACAGTTCTAGGTCTAATTTTAAAAACTAGCTACAAGCCTATTCAAGTTATCTATTTCATTCTGAGTGAGTTTTAGCAGATTATGGTTTTTCCAGAAATTGGCCCATTTCATCTAAATTGTCAAATTTATATGCTTGCCACGCTGCATTCCATTTTGGAGTGCTGACTCAAGTCCTGGCTGCTCAGCCTTCCATCTAACTCCTAGCTAATGCATCAGGAAAGGCACTGGGTGATAGTCCAAGTGCTTGGGCCCTTATAACCCATGTTGGAGACCCGGATGGAGTTCCTGTTCCTGGTTTCAGCCTGGCCCAGCTCTGGTTGTTGTGGTTTTTTGGGAAATGAACCAGCAGATGGAAGATATCTCTCCCTGCCACTCTCCTCCCACCCCTCATATTCCGTCTCTCAAATAATAAATAAATCTTTATACAATTACACGTATAGAGCTGTTTGCAGTAT